ATTCGAATGTTGTCTGCTGAATTTCACTCGTAATAAATGGATGAATTTCTATTGTTGGTAAGGTGAGTGTAAATTTAGAAACTATTGAACGGTGATATATTGGAGCATGAACGTGGTGTTGCTCAAGTGAAGTGCGTTCGTGAAAAGGACACAACGTTTGATGCGATGAAATCGCGAACGTTCGTTTATTTGATCGATTCGATCGACTCTCTGAATGCCGTCAAACAACGACAACTTTCATCGGTTCACTTCGGATGCCCACCCATTATCGTTTTGCTCAATAGGTCAACTGTGGATGATAGCACGTTGCAATTTCTACATCAGCAGGTTTGGTGAAGCGTTTTTTGATTGATTGATTGATAAGATATCGGTTATCAGCTATCAGTCATTACGGTTTTTCGATAAGTATTTCGCATTGAGTATCAGTGGTGATGATATCTTGTTTAAGTGCTATCTGCTGGCCACGAATCTCGGTGGTATTTTTGTTGGTATCGTAGTGCATTCGATGCCCACTGAAATAGGAGCATCTGGAAACGAAATGACCGCTTTCTTTGAGTTCGTTTCCATTTCATATTTTTCCGTTATTTGACACTTATCGTTCGTCTTTTAATTGGTCACGAAGAAAATAGATCGCCTAGAGATTTATCTTCAGATATTTGTATCGTTGGAATGTTTCTTCGTCTCACATAAATAACAAACCTGTTAGGATTAAATTGAAAAAATCACAATTTAATTTGATTGATCGATCACTCAGTCTGAGCAGGTGTATGTGAGAAGGGTTTCACCAAGTTAGCATAAATTAATTTGCATTAAAATTTATCAAGTTCCAAAAAAAATCTGATAAATGTTGAAGTTCTGATCACTTGTCGCATATGTTGGATGCAGCGTTCTCGAGTCAAATCGACGGTCGTCGTTTAGATGCACGAATACAATTGTCACTGATGTGTGGTGATCAATTCCCCGCCCAATGCGTTCTCAATTCATTATTATCAATTACTACCAATATAACACCCTCGTCGTCCGGTTCGCTTATCAACCTATTTTTTGCACTTTTATTTATTCTTGCTCACAACAGGTATTACGATTGCCAAGCGCATGAAAACTGTTGAGTAATATGGAATCTTCATATTTGTTGAAGTTCCTCGCACACATCCTTCAGCAATTTTGTTGAGAATTCATTTCGTTGCTCGTTAGACAATACCATTTGTCAACTATCATTCGAGCATTAAAAAAAAGATATCACGCTTGCACACACCTCAGTGCCATTTTTGATGTTGTTGAGTGATCGGTTTAAATTTGTTGAGAAGGATTATGAACTGATTCAGAAGAAGGTTGTGATGGTACCAATGATTATAACAGTAGGGATGACGATTTGTGATGTAGACGGTGATAATTTTAATATAATAATCGTAATGAATCGGAGTTAGATGAGAGAGGTAATAACTAACAGGTGGAATGGGAACGATCGAAGTGCCGATAGTATCGTTGAAACGAAGCGCACTCATTGATTTACGTGCTTCATCGTATCATTCATGGCTGGTCTCTCGTGCACCGTTACCCATTCATGGACATATACTCGCCTATAGGTTTGTTCATTGATCGTTGACATGTCTGTAACAAAGTTTTCCTATCCACTCCATTAATCGTATTCCCTTTGAAAACGCTTGATTTGATTTCGTCATTTTTGTTTTTTTCGAATTCATCTATGAAATCCATTTGACGTGATCCTTTCACCACCATCTCATCACTTCACTCCATTATACAGTGCTCGTCGCCGTGCATCGTTCGCTCATGCGCGTGCAGCGGCGAAAAGTCTGTTGGAAACACCGAATGCGTCGTCAGCATCCAAGCCGTCGTCAGCCTCATCTTCGTGCACAGCACCAGTACAAATCCTTTTCATTGCTGTCGCAGATGTAACCGATTTTTTCAATGATGAGGTATAATATGCACACGTTTTGAATCAATCAGCAAACTTTTACAGTGGAACACGATGAGCTGATAAATCCTCATCGATCTGTTGATTGCAGTTTGGAAACTGATTTCGTTTTGATCAATTTAAATGATTGTAATATTTAACCTATTAGGCAGAGTAAAGTCCTTACGGATATATGTGTCTGTGTGCATATTGATTCATATCATACAAATTGATTATTGCTTCATTGAATTCAAAATTATAGGTTCGTTCGTCCAACTATCAACTTATTTTTGTCATTCGAATTTTAGGAAACCAATGCGTTGCTAACAGAAGGTAGCGAGTTGGCCACCAAACTGTCCGCATCATTTGTGACTCTATCACCAGAAATCGCTGAACGTCTTCATACGGTCACGTTTGTAGAGTTTTTTGAACGGGTCTTATGTGCGCAACATCACATTGGCGTTGGGGTGCGATCCAATGCCGATGGTGCTACAGGGTAAGTCATTATTTGATAGTTGCATTCGTGCGCATGCCATATTCGTTCACTTTGGTGTTTTTTTTCGAAAATATCATTATTATGTTGTTATCACTGATTTGGCTTATTACGATCGTGTCCGGTTGTCTTAATCCTTGCCAAATCAAGATTGTAACTGCTTGTGTTGACTGGCGCGAGTGTCTTTTATTCATCATCGTCTTTGAATTGATTTCGAATTTCATAAATGAACACTACTCTCAATAGGACGTTCAAAATCTATCTAGAGAAAATGCTGTCGATAAATTCTCCGCTGATTGTGAGTGGACTGAAAACTGTCATCAAAGTGCATCTGTTTGTTTGTGCGTGCATAAAGTGTGGATGAACGTATGGATGGGTGAATGGAAGATATGTGTCCACATTCATGTGCACTTCCATGATGAATGCTGTCTGCATGCACGCTAGACAAATGCAATTTTGCCATAAGCATTCAACACGCAACTTATTTCCAACGACTGCTCACTGCCGAAAACATTTTTCCGCACAAGTTTGATCGATTTGAGCGTTCTTTTACGGCAGGCGTTATTCGCATGCATATTCCGAAATCGATGAACGCAGCAGCATATCGTTTATCTCATCTCAACATCCCGTTCAAATTGCAGACAATATCAAATTCAAGCATTCATTCACTTCATGTCCATTGACGTATTCACACTGAATAAATTTCACATCGTCTAAAATTTCACTCATACCATGCGATTTCAATTACATTTCGGCCATCATAGAGTATTTGGTGTTCGATGATGAGCTTTTGTTTCACTTCTGAAGTTCAATTCAACGACTTCATTCATANGTTTATTTGATAAGCAGTTGAAACTCATGATGACTTTATGCTACTCTGTTATCAGCGCTAATACGAAGAATAGCAGAACGTTTTTTGGGATTTCATTCGTTCTAGACGGCTGGCGATAAGAGTACAGGAAGTTATCCGTCTTCTAGATTTGTATTTCAAAATTTCATTAAACGCGTACAGAGGTTTAGAGTTATTTGTGCGTTTTCCGTCAATGATATCTAGGAAGATGGGTTCAAACTAATAGTAAATTGAAAAAAGCACATTCTGATTGATCGAGCGGACATGTTTTCAGTGACTACTCGAACTAACAGATGTCAAGTGAGTGATCAATTTTACGAGCATTTTCATTTATTGCTTAACGAGAAAAACACATCAATATTGCCCCATGAAGGGTGCAGTTTGTTGCATAGCAAACAATAGGCAAAACATTCCAGTTAGCTATGCTGGCTTCTAATAATAATCCGAATCGCTTCCGTTGATTGCATACGCCAATTTGTTTATCTTTATTGAGAATTTGTTTTCTGTTATATGAGTGAATTTTGTATTTCTATCAGTTCGTATTGTAGACGTTAAGAATTCCAGAAATCTGCATCATTTAACGATTGAAGTTCTAGATGATAGCAGAAAGACTGTGAGATTTTAGATTCCTAAGTAGAATCGTCGGAAGGGATTTTAAAAAGATTTTCTTATCAATTGC